GCGGCGGGCCGGTGGGGGGGGGGCGGCGGCTTCAGCCCGGCCGGGAAAAGCGGACCAGGGCCGTTGGGGCTGCTTTTGGGGATAGCTTGCGAGCGCGCCGCCTCCAGCCCCCCAGATCCGGGTAAACTGGCAAGCGGGGTGGCTGTGGGTGAATCGGTGCCAGTCTGCCTTTCCACGCCCAGCAGCCCTCCTCGAGGGAAGGCAGGCCTGTTGTACTATATAGGAATGCCTCAACAATGTCAAATGGCGCCCTCAGCTGTTTTTATTTTTTTAATGTAGGTCTGGGTTAATTATTTCCCTTGAATGGGTGTGCATTAGAAGTGTGCAGATCTTGGATTTGGACTACCGTTCCCAAAATTGCTGCTTGGGAACACGCAAATTTGCATGCATCTGATTTAAATCTAAACGAACGTTGTAAAAGAGCGTTAGTATAGGTGACTTCTGAGAGGCAAGATAAATCTCCTTGTTTTAGTGGTACGAAACCTGCACTCTTAATTTTTAGGTAAAGATTTGCAATGTACATTGTGTTAATTTTTAATAAACCTTGGGGGAGTGGAGATAATAATTATAATAACCATGTGTCATCAAGTCAATTCTGAGACAATGCAACCATTTTCAGAGTTTTCTAGGTAGACTGTCAATTCTGAGTCAATGCAACCGTTTTCAGAGTTTTCTTAGGTAGACAATACTCAGAGGTAGTTTGCCATTTCCTTCTTCTGGGATGCCCTGAAACAGTGCAGCTTGTCCCAGGCCACACAGGTTGGCTCTGCTTACAGGAGGCACAGTGGGGAATCGAACTCCCAACCTCTGGCTCTGAAGCCAGATACCTAAACCACTGAGTCATCCAGCTAGCTCCTGGGACCCAACAATTTAAATGTAAGAAGACTGGACAGGAGAATGGTTTACCCTCCACTTGATCCTACTAATATCAAACCCAGGGTTGTCACATATGTGGGATGATCTCAAGATATTGAAGAGATAACGTAAAGTGTAATAAGAAATGCAGCTTATTATTACATGGACCTGGGAGTTCTTTACATATGCTGCACTAGTTTTTTACATTGATAAGGAAATAGTGGGGCTAAAATCCTCTTGGTATTCACAAAGAGATCCTAAGTTGCTTCAGCTAGTTGATGAGCTGTTGGACACATGTCTGGCCAGGTGCCTGATCACATGCTCAGAATGTATACCAGCACCTCATCAATTAGCCTTAGTCATTGCTGATTACATACTCTCTCCACAAACACCAATAGGATTTTTACTGATATTTCTTACATAGAAAGAAATATGCTTTCATCCTTCTATGTGTCCTAATCTTTCCTTCTCTACTTTTTCCTCCAAAGGTTTGGGCATCTAACTGTGGCTCGCATCTTGCTGGAAAATGGTGCTGACCTTAATGCACAGAATAAATTGGGGGCCAGTGTACTTACCATGGCCTGTAGAGGTGGCCACATAAGTGTAGTTAAATTTCTGCTGGAATCAGGTGCTTATGTGGACAATTACGACCACTTGAGTACTGGTTTGGACAACAGTAAAGAAGAATTGCCTGCTATCACACCTCTGATGGCTGCTGTCCAGCATGGACATGAGGCAGTAGTCCATCTTCTTTTGGACTGGGGAGCTGATTGTAATTATACTGTGAAGACAATGGGCTGGACTCCACTGATGTTGGCAGCTGTTAGTGGAAGAGTAAGTTTGGCCCAACAGCTTTTGAACAAAGGAGCCAATCCTGACCATCTGAATGCACTGCATAAAACATCGTATGAAATCGCTGTTGACTCCAAACATGAAGACATGAAAGATTATCTTGCACCATTGACAACAGTTAGACCCCAGACAGGTATGAATTGCTTCCCTCTATTTTTTTTCTCCCCTTTTATGGATATCTACATAGCTATTATCTTCAAATAATCAAACCAACAAACAAGAAAGGCACAGTTTTGTTAAGGAGATGATGACCGAGAGTGTAGGTCAGAAACATTCCTGTTTTTGGACTACAACAACCCGAAGCTCCTAGATATATTGCATTGAGATTCTGAGATTTTCATTCCAAATGGTAAAGAAAGGGCAAAATTCTCTTGAATAAATTAACATAGAAGCCAATAATGTCATCATCCGGCACCGGCACAATTTAACTTATTTTAACTGAAAGCTTTCTGTCCCCTCCCTTTCATGTTTTGAAATTCCCCAAGGCTCTCTGTTGCTCTGGGAAAGCCTTTGGGAGCCTTGGGATGGCTGGTGGCAGTGTGCGTGCGACTTTAATAAAGGCTACTCCCCTGAGGCTTACAAAGCCTTCCCCAAGGTAAAAGGGAGCCCTAGGGAACCTTGGAACCTGAAAAGAGGGACAGTAGGAAGCATTCAGTTAATTTAAATTTTGCCAGCACCAGGTGACAATGTCAGTAACTTCCACAGTGTTTATTTGCATCAATAGGGTTTTGGCCAGTGAGTCTACTTAGCTTGAGCATCTAAGCCAACTCAGAGAAGGAAGGGCAGAGCTTGGAGAGATCACATTTTGGGGCTATAAAACTCCTGAAGTCCCACAGGCAACATAGCCCAATATCATGACTTTCTTCCATCACAATTGTAAATTCCTTATAGTACAGTACTACAAGATACTGTCTCTACTTAAAGTATTTTGGTGCTACATTTTTGTTCACCTTTCTTTACTAAAAACATTTTAAAAAGAGATTTGGATGATGCACAAGGTTGCCTCTTTGCCCCATCACCTTCTGCTTTCTCTTCCAAACAATGCTGTGAAAACCTTTGGGGCACTACAGGCCAATCTTATGCATATTTGTTGAAAAATAAGTTCTAGTATCACCAGAATCCTATGTTTTTAAAAACTGAAAAAACAACACAATTTAATTTTAACACAATTAAGCAACTAAAAAGTAAAACAACGACAGAAAAATCATCCCACAAGTTAACATTTGTGGATGGTGAGGGAGCAGGTCTCACATACATACACTACATAAAGGCAGAGCAAACAATTAAAAAGTTACTTTTATATGTACAAATGATTAGCCCAAAGTATTCTTGAAGGCTTTCACGGCTGGGATCTGATGGTTGTTGTGGGTTTTTCGGGCTCTTTGGCTGTGTTCTGAAGGTTGTTCTTCCTGATGTTTCGCCAGTCTCTGTGGCCGGCATCTTCAGAGGACAGGAGTAGGAACTCTGTCTGTGCTCTGTTGTAGTTTGTTGGACAGTAGGATCTTTGTTGGATAGTAAGACTTTAAGGTCAATGAACTCTACCCAGCCACAAGGACCAGCGATCATTGCACAAACAAAAAAGGCTAACGACACCCATCAATCACAGTGACAGATGATCTCTCCCCCTTATCACAACAATACATCCGCAACAAAAACACGCTGATCACCATAATCACCCAATCTCCTGAACAGGACAAAAGTTGTTCCCACAGCTATAAATACTCAACTATCCAACAAATTGCAACAGAGCACGGACAGAGTTCCTACTCCTGTCCTCTGAAGATGCCGGCCACAGAGACTGGCGAAACGTCAGGAAGAATAACCTTCAGAACAAGGACAAAGAGCCCGAAAAACCCACAACAACGATTAGCCCAAATTTATGATACAAATTTTTCCGTAAGAGTCAGATGCCATACTTTCTGCAGCCATCCAGATATTGTAAGATTATTGCCTATTTTCTAATTAGTAAAAGTCAGCATTCTAGTTGGTAGGCAATGACAAAGAAAATTTTGATCTAAATGCCGATTTTCATCAATAAATAATTATAGAATACTAATCAGTGGGTCACCTTTTATGGGTAATAACATACAATACAATAAAAATCAGTTTCTAAAAATCACAAATTATAGGACAAGGCTTCTTAATTGTAGGCAGGTACCACACTGATCACAATTCTTCCAACAATATGAATCCTATTGGTTACTGACACTGGCATTAATTGTAATGACATAAGTTGCAGTGGTGAATTGTCACTAGCTAATGAGTCACTAGATGTAACCCCCACAGTATGCTAAGTCAAGCAACTGATGTGTAGTGAGAAACACCAAGCAACAATTTGTTAATTAGTAGCACTTCACCACTTTGATTTGTATCATTGCTTAAATCTGGATTCTGGCCACTATTTTCAACAGGACTTGCCCCCAGGTAAAGTGTGCAAGGACTGTAACCTTACACTAATTAAACCAGATTCTTGCTATGTAAAATCTTTCCAAGATACTGTATCGTCATTCAAACCCAAAGGTTATTGTAGTAGCTTAAAAAAAATTAGAGAATGTTGTGTATAAATGGAGAACAGAGGTCTGTGCTCCTCAAGAAACCATCCACTGTGATAAACACATTAAAATAGGTTTTGATCACCTATTTTGAAGTCGATGTAGTGGCCCACTTTCTTAAGTTTAAATTGTATTAATTTTTACAAGAAAATATAAATATTGCTACAAACATAATACAAATGATGTTAATTTTGAAATTAACAATGGGGAACAAATAATCATCAATGAATTAAAAGAGGAAAAAGAAATAAAAGGGTTCATTAGATATTGGGCTAGATAATAAAACAATAATTAGGTTCACTCCACACAATTCATTTAATTTACATTATATATAAATTAACTCTAAAGAAAATTGGTTTATGTTCAGTAGGTCAAAACAAGGTGGCTATCTCAGGCAGCAAATGGTGGAGGTTGTTGGGGGGGATGACAATAATAATGTCGAGCTATTCCTCCTGAGTTCCACCAAGTGAAGAAAATCACTTGCTGGAATTTTCCTAAATCCTAAACTTTCTAACCTTGTTTGCTGTTCCTGGGGGTGGCACACAATACTGTCTCATCTCTGTGTATTAAAATAAGATTTGGCTGCCACTCCAGTTGGCTTTTGCATTTGAAATACAGGAGAGCATCTTGTTTGTTATACCTTCATCAGAAGAAATAACATACTGTAGTTTCTTTCCAATTATTGCTTGACTTACAACTCATTGCTTCTTAGCTCTAGTGCAGTGATGGGCAACTTCTAGAGGCCTGGTGACTGCATATGTACGTTGGGGGCTGCCCTTGCATTTCTCACCCCCAACCATTTCTTACAGAAATAAGGGTTTGGAACGGAAATATTCCCTTGCATTTGCTAGTGGCCAATCTTAAAAACAAACAAAAACATTGAGGGTAACACAGGGGACTCTCATGAGGCAGAACTGTTTCCACTCCCTCTAGAAGGGGCAAGGGACTCTGTGCTAATTTTTTTCAAAATGGGGGTGGTAGTGCCAGGACCCTGGGGGCATTGGGTCAGTATGGAGACCCCAAGGGTACATGCAGCCCACAGACTTCATGTTCTCAACCCCTGTTCTAGCAGTAGCACAGATCAGTAATATACAGAGTGTTTTTTCAATGTCTTGTGGCAGTTGACCTGATGTCAATATTAATCTTCAAATATGTGTATATGAGGTACCTGATATGAAATCACTTTGATAGTTATATTCTTTTAGCAGAAATAATTCTAGTTATAGTGCTTCTTTGTGAAGAGGCTTAATTTCTTAGGGTAGTGAAGGGGGCAGCTCTGTTTACAGATCTGTAGAACTGATTTCTACACCGAAGTATGCCTGGGGGTGCTTTCAAGATAAAGAAGCATCATCTGAGCTTTATAGCTTTCACATTTCCAAAGGAATTATTTGGAAAGGGATCATTTGTGTGTCCAGTCTATTGCTGCCAGCTACCATTATTGCTGGAAATCAATTATTTTCAGCCTATTGAAGGGCGCCAAGACTATTTCCTGGCTTTTTGCCTGTCTCTAATACACTAATCAGTCAGTCAGAGACAGAGAGATCTCACTTTTCTTTTGTTTTTTCTTTAGTGATCTAGCTTTTCTTTTTAAAACCCTCATTCTCATTCCCTTATTCATTTATTTCCATGGCAAGGGTATGTGAGGACTTCATAAAGCAACTTTTGTAGACACTTGAGGAAAAGAGTTACCCAATGTGACATAGTGCAGTGGTCCACAACTTTTTTGATACCGCGGACTGGTTGGGGGAGGGACGTGGTCCATGCGTGGGGGGCACCCCCGCACTTGCATGCATGCGTGAAGGGGCTGCGATAGTTCGCGTGGGCATGTGTGAACTCATGCGCATGCTCAAAGGGGCAGGGGTGCTTACATGGCACTCATGCGCATGCTCAAAGGAGCAGGGGTGCTCACATGGCACTCATGCACATGCGCAAAGGGGCTGTGTGGGTGGGCATGGGGGAGCGCATGGGGGGCGGAAAATCTGTCTCCGCAACCCAGTCTGGCCAAGGCCACGGACCGGCACGGGGATGGAGACCAGGGGTTGGGGACCCCTTGCGTAGTGGATTGAGTGACAGAGTAGGACTGAGGAGACCTGAGTTCAAGTCCTTGCTCAGCCACAAAAACTCACATGGGCTGTGTGGAATCAGTAAAATCACTCTTTAAATAATTCATTTGCCTTGAAAGCCTTATTCAGGTGGCTATTGATCCAGTTTCTACTTGAGGGCAGGTACATAACACAAAAGGAAAAGAGGACATGTAAGGCGGTGTTAGAATTATATGTAGGGGAGTACTGTATGTTAGCAGTAAAACATATAGGATTAAATGCTGATCTCTGGGAACCTCCTCTGATCTAAAGGGAAGGCCTGTCGTTCGGTCACAGAGAACATGGATTGTATGCAAAAGCTATTCAGTTCAAATTTTGGCATCTCAAAATAGGAATGAAATAGATTCCTGACTAAAACCATGCCAGTCACTATCAGTAATACTAGGTTAACTGGGCCAAAAGTCTCTTCTGGATAAAGCAGATTTTTGTGCTCCTGGGAGCCCAATCCAACCTGGATTATATAGTTCAGTAAACACTGTCATCTAGGTACTTCTTTCAAACCCATTTTCCTTCTTTAGTCTGCTGATGACTGATTTTTTTTGTACTTTATCTTTCAGCTATCTCTTTATTCTTTTCACCTCTACAATCAAAATCTCTGCCTTCATCCATTGGTGCTGCTTCTCCTTTTCTCCTGCCTTCTCCCTGCTCCAGCAATCTTGATGACTCCTTGGCTCTATTAGTACAAAAGATTGCTTACAAGCATATAGGACTAATTTTCTACTGGGGCTGTTGGTTTCTGGTAAGGCGTGCTGTGCTTTAGAAAATGCACAGCCCAGATACATGCCTGTGAGTCCCTCTTTGCCTAGACCCATATGTTCCTCTTGTTCAGATTACATCTTCGCTCAATCTTAAACAAGGATGCAGGTGTGGGAGGTGAGTCTGCTGTGGACCATATAGCCCCCCCAGGCCTTTTGTATTCTCCTTTTATGGCAAGAATCCCATGAAGGCTCTGATGAGCGTTTTTTCCAGTCCCCAAAACACGCCTGAAATTTGCACTAACAGAATCAGGCAGAAAATAATGTGGCCAAATTTCAACAACAAACCAATTAAAAACTTAATTGTTTTGTTCTTCTTGCAGTGATTTTTTTTAAAATAGTTGGATTTGTATGAGCCTGCAGCAAGGTCTGGGGAATAAAATTGACCCCTAAACTGACTGAAGTTAACCTACCTCTACGAATTCTGGGAGAAAAAAACTTAGGTTTCCTGGGTCATATAATACAGGGGTCCCCAACCCCAACGGTCCGCGGCCTAGTGCCGGTCCGTGGGCTTCCTGGAACTGGGCGGTGGAGACGGATCTCTCCCCCCCCGCACACATGCACGGTGGGCATGTTGCGCTCCCCCAACAAACACAGGTGTTCCCCCGCACACAGAGCCTACCCTCCCAACTGGTCCACGGTCCAAAAAATTTGGGGACCACTGATGTAATAGCTGTTTTAAGATGGCCAGTGTGTGACAACCTGGGTAATTCCAAGATCAGATAAGGGCTTGATAATGCCCTGACACGTAGAATAAGCCACATGATACGGTCTGATGTGGGTTCTAACGTATGAGTGCCTCCTAGAGATAGGAATATTCTTTAAAAAATCAAAAAGAAAAAAACTATGATTCTCATAACATCCCTGTCAATAGGACAATAGTTATTCCAGTTGTTGGATTCTGAGAATTGTGGCCCCAAACAGTAATACTTCTCACTTCTATTTCATATTTATGACATTTGTGTGTTGTGTGTAGCAGCTGGACCATGAAATAAGACCTTGTCATTCATGGCTGCAGACACTAGTTTTGAAATTTGGTAACATGGTGTATTATTGATCTCTCCCTGCCCCAGGTATTTCTTTTCCCCTCAAGCTTTGTGAGATGGTCCCCCAGTACTCTTTCTGGTGAAAGAAAAAGCACTTCATCAAGCAAACAATCTCAGTCCCAAGAAGCTAACAGAGAGAGACTGAGAGAGCAAGAGCAGGTAGCGCTCTCCAGCGGTCTTTAGAACAGTCTAGTAGTCTTTATCAATGTCTTTTGTCACAGGATACTATAAGCCTTTGGTTTTGGTATTGGTAATTTAAAAATCCAAAGAGAGAGGTTGAGGTAACATTGTTTACTAATAATACCTGCACTGAAGCCTTTCCTGTTGTAGTACAAGTTACATATTTTTCTTTCTTGTTTTCCATTCCAGATATGCCTTAGAGGCAACCTGATATCTTCCATGCTTTGAAAATGGGTAAGGCTTCTAGAAAGTTATTCTTAGCATATCTGGTAAAGGCAGTGTTTTCTACCCTTTCAGAGTCTACATCCCCCCTTCTAATAAACATAAAAATCTCATGCCCCCTTTTTCAAAGCTGCCTTCCCCAGTAATTTTATGTGGAATTCTAAATATCCTGACTAAAAATAAATCAAAGCATTCATACATTTAGAATAAAGTCATTTTTTCTTCAGCTTTTTCAATATTAATTTAATACATAGGCTCTGCACATAGAACACTATCCTACAATGTAACTCCTCTAGATAAAGAAAGAAGACGATAAGTAGATGTGGTGCTGCCTATCATGGAATTATGCAACAAGCTGCAAATTAAGAAAGCAATTGATACAACTATCCCCCCACCACCCAGTTTTCCAAACTAAACAGGAATACAAGATAATGTTTTTTCAATCCATACATATGCTTTCTGAAATTCTGATGTGCTCTCCACAAGTGGGAGGATGCTCCACGTATTCATAACACTAGTTTTAGAGGTTGGTTTCTTTTGGTTTCTAGAAGTCTTCAGCTCAGTATAAAACTGATAATAACTATAGAACTAAATACTCTTGATGGAGGCTATCTTATTCAAGTAGCTATCTATGTTATTCCAGTACTTTTTACTTGTCCACTACATTGTATTGTTTAAAAAACTCTCCTAGATGGTTTGTTGTTAGAAATAAACATACACTTTTTTCTGTTACCTGAAATGTTTATGTGTTGCTCAGTGTCAACTCTCTCTGTAGGGAACTTTCAGCTGGTTAAAGAGATAACCGATGAAGACCCAGCACAGGCCAATGTTATTAATGATGACGGCGCTTCGCCACTGATGATCGCAGCTGTAACAGGACAGTTATCCCTTGTACAGCTACTTGTTTCAAAAAATGTAGATATTGATAAGCAAGATAATATTCATGGCTGGACAGCACTAATGCAGGCCACTTATCATGGGTAAGTATCCCTATTTTCCTGCTTTGAAGTAAGAAAGAGTGTTTTGTTTTGTTTTTACCACTGTTGCTATCTTTATTATCACCCTTACCAAAGATGTGGTGAGATAAAAATATAGGACTGCACTCTTGCCACTAGTTCTTTCCCTTATACATCTACAGTGGCAATGAGTTCTAGATACCTCCTCATTTTGTGTTTCTTACCTCCTATCCACAGAATATTTGCATATATCATTCTTATGAACATTAAAGCCTCTGAACCTAAAACAATGGGGTAGGTGATCATTTGGCCCACCTAATCCAGGAAATAAAATAAATGTGCAGTTCAAACCTATTGTATTGGAATTTCCAGCACACATGCCAATATTACATCTACTACCTTGAAAGTTTGTACCAATCTTACAGAATATAGCAGAGGGAAATTGTTGATGTTAGACTTATTTTAGCTGCTGAGAATGTTACAGTATTTGTAAAGCTCTGTTAAGGCCAACTCAAGATGTATTGGCTGAAATCCTGTTGCATAGTTATGCAAATAATGTAGCTTTTGGAGTGAATCAAGAAATTTACATGTGTCTGTTGCACACTGAATCATACATCTTTACATACAAGAAATAATACCAACAGAGATTTCTTAAGGCAATTTGTGTCTGAAAGTAGCATGGTTTGAATATCTGTGCAACAGGTTTTTATCCATTATCTAAAACCAAAGTGTCATCACTAAACTCTGTTTAGGCAGAATAAAGCCATCTTTATTCAACCTGTAATTTTGTGATTAGCAACCACACAACTCACAACAACTTCTGATTTGTTTATTCATTAAAGAATCGGATCACAAGCGAGTCAGTCTCCTCAGTTGAGATCACAAATTCCTAACCTTCCTCTCTCTTACTTCAGATGTGTGGTTGTGTAAATGGCAACAAAAATATGATCTCTTGAGAGTATATTCCACGGAGGTCATCTGAGCGATGCTAGGTGGACAGCAATAGCGGTAGTGCAGATAAAGGTGGAGTTAGAAGGCATTAGAAAGCAATGCTGAGTGCTTTCCAGCATCCTCTCCTAATCTAATCTGTATTTTATATATATATGTGACTTACATTCTGTTTCCTTTAAAGAAATAAAGAAGTTGTTAAATATTTATTAAGTCAAGGAGCTAATGTCAACTTGCGTGCTAAAAATGGATACACGGCTTTTGACCTCATAATGCTGCTGAATGATCCAGGTATTTTCGTGCATCTCTCCTCCGTGTAGTGTTTCTTGTAAGATAAGTGTTTTGTCTTCATTGAGATGTTTGAGTTGCAGAAAGATTTTCAAGTACCTATTGCATGACTTTATTTTAGATGCAGAACTTGTGCGGTTGCTGGCCTCAGCCTGCATGCAAGGAGACAAAGAAAAGAATAAGCCAAATAACAAAGCAGTTGCACCGTTAGCTCGAAATAAGCAATCTGTGGATATCCCAGTGTTACCTGATGACAAGGGGGGATTGAAGGTAATAGAAACATCATACATTTCATCTTAATAATGCATGGTTTTGGACAGGGGGAATCTAGCAATATTCCCCCAGATGCTTTTTGCTCATTGTAGAAGCCTGCTAGGAGCAGTACCATCAGAGTGATCTTGCAGTTACCAACTCAGCAGAGATCCAGTGGCACTGTGGGCAGTAGGACTTCACCTGGCCCTATAGAGCTGTAGGCTCTTTTTAGTATGAGCAACACATTGTTCACGCCTGGATGGAAATCCTGTTGGATTGATGACAACCAAGAGTGTTCCACAAAGAATAATCTGTTATCTCATGATTGCCATAGATCATTGTGCTAGCTTCCAGAGAAAACATGTCTTTCCACAGACAAAACAGGACCAAAATTGCTAATGTGTCCAGAGCGTTTTGGAGGATCTTTTCTTTTTAATTAAGCTTAATTTGTTTCAGATCGTTTTAATTTTTATTCACAATAGCCTGTCTAAATAAATATATCACAATTGCATTTTTCCCTAGTCATGGTGGAGCAGGATGTCAAATAGGTTTCGTAAGCTGAAATTGTCCCAAACTTTGAACCATGGATTTTCCATAAATCCATCTGTGCCTTTCCCAGAAGAGTCAAAATCACCATTTGATTGCACAGTGAAGGCCACATTACAAAGTGATAACTCAATAAACCATGATGCCACAACAGCATGGACAACAAAAAGCAAGTCTGATGGTAATTATATGATATTACAATACAGTATACTTAACACCTGTAATGTATGCATGCTCCCTCATATGTTCAAACTGATCTAAAATTGTCAAAACCAATGGAAAAATTACAATACAGTATACTTAACACCTGCAATGTGTGCATGCCCCCTCATATGTTCTGATCTAAAATTGTCAAAACCAATGGAAAGATTTTGGAATCATGTTGTTATTGTATATTTATTTTATTTATGAGAAAATAATGTGTTTTTTACAATGCAATTAGGTAGGAAGAACTGACTGTGTATGCTGCATAATAGATCATCTAATTGTCAGTTGTAATGAACAACTACAGTTTCCTACTGTGTGAGAGGTAAAGAATTACTGGGTCACAGGCTGGAAAATTACTTACAAAATGAAATCACAATCAACCTTGCATTCCCATGAATGGGACTTTTTTCCTGAATGGAATTGCCATGATGGCTGCAACTTGGGAAAGGGTAAATTTACCCATCCCACATGGGTCACAGGAAATTACTTACAAAATGAAATCACAATCAAACTTGCATTCCCATGAATGGGACTTTTTTTCTGAATGAAATTGCCATGATTAGGGACTTGGATGGCTGCAACTTGGGAAAGGGTAAATTTACCCATCCCACATGTACTCCATAAATCATCCATCCTAGTTTGTGAAGAAGAGTACTGGTCATATAAACAGAAAAGAATGAAATGAGGGTAAGAAAGAAATGAGGAACATTTTTCAGAGAGCAGTAATGTTGTAGATAGATTTGAGCCATTCTGTTCTTGGAAGAAGACAGGCCAAATGTTTCATTGATTATTTGGTAAGTTTAAAATAGCACTATTAATTCTTTTCTTTTCTTTTAGATATAGGCAGCACAAAAGCAGGAAAGGGTGATGAATTATTGGCAACAGTGGTAAGTCAGAAAATACTGCTACTCTCTCAGGTGTTTGGATAGCTTGTCCATTACCCTTGCTCTATAATAATTTGATCCGAAAAGAATCAAGAGTTTTCCTTGACTTTGTTGTTATTAACAATAGCTTATCATCAGATATATTATATGACAACATTTGAATAAAAAAAAAAACAATTTCAGTATTCATGAGTATAAGATGTTGTGCTTTTCCTGTAACGGGAGCAGGGAGTCATTGCCTGTTCATTATCATCAGTTATATGATAACATTTGAATCAGAAAAAACAATTTCAGTATTCATGAGTATAAGATGTTGTGCTTTTCCTGTAACGGGAGCAGGGAGTCATTGCCTGTTCAGAGAGTCTGGAGTACATACTAGTGACAAAGTTGGCCATGTTTCACACTAATGGGTTCTGCATCTGTGTGGATACCATTACCAAAGTAAATGCCTCTTCTTTCATCCCTTAAATCTCACTTGCAGCTAGAGAAAGTAAGGAGCAGGAAGTTTTTGTTTCACCACAAACCAAAGTAAAAACTATTTGCTAGAAAGTCAGTTACCACTTTCAGCCTAGGTGCTCTTTCTTTTTCACGTGGTCTCCATGTTTCACACAAATGGGTTCTGCATCTGTGTGGATACCATTCTGGAAACTTTCAGAGCTTCACCTCAAGATATTTTCTCTCCTGTGTCATTCTTTCATCAGAGGGGAGGAGGCAATGATATCTGGTGGAGATAAAAGGGGTCCAGTGGTTCTGCAAGTTGGACCTGAATAATCCCATTCCCAAGACTGAAGAAGCTGGTGATCCGTTGATTTAGAGACCAGTGGTTCCCAGCCTTGGGTAACTTAGGTGTTCTCCCAGAAGCCTTTACCACAAGTTGTGCTGGCTGGGGCTTCTGGGAACTGCATTCCAAGAACACCTGGGTTACCCAAGGTTGGGAACCACTGATTTAGCAATATCTTAAAAGGGATGAGTTGGGTTTCTCTGTAGAATATAAAGAATCTAAGGGGAATGAACAACTATTGTGACTTCAGATGTTGTGAGGGATAAAACCATTAAAATGATAAAATACGTTGTTTAGGAAGCAATATTCCCTCACTGACAGGCAGAGCCACATCGGGTGTTTGCAGTAGAGCGAGTGTTAATGCCTATTTGCTTCTGGTTGCTGCCGAATCCCGCAAGCAGGGGGTGGAGCTCTGGAAAATTAGAGGGAACGTTGCTAGGAAGCTTAGATAAGCTGAGAAGAATACTTCCATCTTTTAAGTACTATATGGACCCAAGTTCAATAGATTGGCTGTACTTTTTTCATGTTTTTTTTCTTATCTCAGACTAATTTACTTGTCTTTTCAGTTTTACACAAGAATATACAGAATTGTCTTTTTGTAATCAATAGGATCCTTTACTGTTGATGTCAAAATTACTTAATTAATAGTTTTTCCTCTTTTTTTATTTTGGCTAGTTAAGAAGTGGGGCTCCATTTACGAGACTGCCTAATGACAAACTGAAAGCTGTAATTCCACCTTTCTTGCCTCCTTCAAGTTTTGAACTATGGAATTCTGACAGGACACAAGCAAACAAAGAGGGCAGCAGAGAGCAAACAAGGGTTGGACTTGCGCATAGAGCTCTCAGTCACAACAACGACAGTGGAAATTCTGACAAAGTAAGAGACACAAATAAATTAACACCATACCTAGACCAGTATACTGTTATACAGCTCCATCTGTGCAACAGGAATGACATCGTTGTCAGTCGCAGATAGCTGCTGATTAAATACTTTCTTTTTTAAGGTCAGGGTACATGCAACTTTGTGTCATTGTGTTGTGAGTTGCACACATCCAAAATAAAGAAGTAAGCTGTTAATCAATAGCAATCTGCCACTAAGAAAGACACCATTCCTGTCATGGAGGTGGAATCACCCAACAGGAAACTGGCTGCTGTTTAATTTTTATCTTTAATAATTAATGATTCTGGATTTTTTAGACATATTGTTCTCCTTTAAATGAATTGATAATTTCAAAATTTGTTCCAGAGTTTCTAAAACAAAAAATTTAAGCTGTTAATCAGTAGCAATCTGCCACTAACAAAGACACCATTCCTGTCATGCAGGTGGAATCACCCAACAGGAAACTGGCTGCTGTTTAATTTTTATCTTTAATAATTAATGATTCTGGATTTTTTAGACATATTGTTCTCCTTTAAATGAATTGATAATTTCAAAATTTGTTCCAGAGTTTCTAAAACAAAAAATTATGCTTTTAATTAATTAAATGTAGTGCAACACAGCAGGCTGCAACCCTGTACATATTTATTCGGGAGTCCAACTGAATCCAACTTGGTTTGTTTCTGGGTAGACATGTTTAAAATTGCACTATTAAGAAAGTATATGAGCCTTCAGTTCAAAATATTATGCTTTTATAATTAATTAAATGTAGTGTAACACAGCAGGCTGCAACCCTGTATATATTTACTCGGGAGTCCCACTGAATCCAACTTGGTTTGTTTGTGGGTAGTCATGTTTAAAATTGCACTGTTGTCTTATGCTAGTGTCAGAAGACAAGAGATTAAAAGAAAGTAGGGAGACAAAATTCATTCTTTCTTTCCTATTAAGAAAGTATATGAGCCTTCAGTTCACACAGAGTTTATAGACTAAGAGAAATTGAAGATTGTACACAGTCATAAACAAAAATCCCGCCGTCGCCACCATGTGTGTTTTTTTTAAAAAATCTTGATTTATTTATCACATCTAAATCTTACCTTCCCCAGCCAGCAGGATCAGGATTATGCCATTTTATTCTGATAAATGTAGTAAAATGATAGTTGGGAAATGCTACTGGCGATGGTGTTAGTTGAATAACACCCATGCAAGCTTACTTTGCTCAGCATGTCATGCCTCCTGCCCAGGTGTAAACCTGCGCTTGCTGGGATCAGGCTCTGATTGACTGGGCCACAAATGCCAGAGCTGTGCCATGGTAACAGGTGTTTCCTCTAACAACTGGTGGTCTCCAGGTGTTTTCAGTGCCCACTGTCATTTTTGTCTCACACTTTAATGCCTTGGTCTCACTGTGAAAATGGCCATGCACCAAAAATGCAAGTCAGTTTGAGAATTCTTTTAGAAAGGGAGGTCAATATTTTTGTTAACTGTCTGGAGGTAGTACTTGTGATTACTGTCCAATTATGATTTGAATTGGCGATCTGGCTGTAACATCTATTCTACTCTGCCTCTCAGAGCTTTTCCTGAGATTAGGTCATAAATTTAAATAATACATGAATTGACTTTGATTTTTAACTCTTTGCAGCTCGTGCCTCTTGTTATGGTTCACCAAATTTGTCCTCCAAATTTCATGGAAGAGAAGTACTAATAGTCAAAGCTTGGCACTGATAGCCAAATTTTGCAAATATTGGTCCAAAAGTCAATGCACATCTGTTTCTTCTTCCAGGGATCCTTAACCAGAAATACTAGACCCATTAAGTTGTCAGCATTTGCAAGAAGACCTCCTACTCCCTCCAATGCAAGCAACTTCAACCATTCCCCCCACTCTTCTGGTGGATCTAACAACATAGCGGGAGTGAACCGGCATGGTGGAGAAATGCATAATAAATCAGGTACTTTGAGAGAGAAGGGGGTGTGGAGTTTCCTTTATACACCCACATACATGTACATGTACATGCATGCTAAGAATAATATTTAAATTTCATTTAACTTCTCAGGCAAAATTTGCTGTGGGGATGGATGGACATGAGGGCCCTGCTTTGCTTTTCAATGGAGCCCTTGGGTCCATCAGCTAGAGACAGATACAAAGTCAAGATCAGAGATATAAAACTTTTGAGATACACCTTCCTCTGAAAGTTATTTTCAGTACCTAAGTTTGAACTTTTACATACACATGTATTCCTATTTCCCCACCCCAACCCTAAGGTCTTCTGGCTTTCAGCATTTGGTATGGTCAGGGGAGAAGACTGTTTATTATAGGTATTGTTCAGCTGTTGCAAGTTGGAACCCTTTGATGATTCACTACAGATCAACTTAGAATGAACAAGTAAATCTCAACTATCTTTTATCCACTCCTAATCTATGCTATAAGTATTGTTAATGAGTTGGTTTGAAAACATGGAAGTCTTCCTTCTGCAAATTTAGGTAGCGTACTATGACAGAACACGATAATCCCATGGTGGGAACTATGTTAAAAATATCTCTAAATCACTTTATTACTTTGGTATGCTGCCACCATTTTACCACACCCTCAACCTCTTTGGCAATAGGTTTTCCAGTGGTTATTCCCCACTTCCCATGACATCGAGTCATCTATTCAGTAGCTAGATCAGGAGTCAGAACCAGCAGAAGTATACCCTCTCCCCCCCCCCATATATTTCTTCATCTTTCAGACATGGCTAGAAAGGATTTGTAAGTTTGCTTCAAAAGAAAAGTAAAAATAAGAAAATAAAAAGACACTGCAAAGATAGTGAAACTGTTCCAAATTCAAACAAGTGTGGATACAAGTGTGCAGGATACCAACAGCAACCCCAATAATATAAGAAATTCAGAGCTACCCTATCATTATTTACCTAAACAGAGAGATTGTCATAAGATCACCAGAAATCTCCCCATGACTCAGCAAGACCGCCTGGCATGGAAACACTTCCTTCACAAAGGTTCAGAGAGCCAGATTTCACAGTTCTCTTTAAAAGTACTATTGATGGCTGTAGTGAACAGCCCTACCCTCACCTGTCGGTCACAGCAGAACAGTGGAATAGGAGCCAATGAGAGGACGGAAGGTGGAGCCAAGGGGGAGGGGGCTGGATATAAAGGCTGGTGTATGGCGTCCCAGAGGGAGATTCTGGTAGTGAGAGACAGTGTGACACTTAAAAGTGATCTGGTAGTGAATTAGAGACCTGTAAGAACGCTGAATAGTGTTAATAGAGTTTTAAAGCTGAAGCAGAACTGAGTCAAATATAAGTGATTAGCAACCTGTGATTTACCTATTGAATATTAATCAGATGTTAACTTCCCTGATCTAATAAATGACTTAAATTTCAAAAGCACCCATGTCTCCATGATTAAATGGTATTAAGGCAGTAATACCTGGTGGCAGCGAAGAAAGAAGGGCGAGAACCTCCTGAAGGCCAGTGGGGGGGGGATGTGGGCTTCAGAGGAGATTGCCATAATGGCCATTCCTTAATTGGCCTTAATCCACTTTGATTACTGGGAAAACAAGGATATTTTGTCACAAAGATCTTTTGACGATAAACATCCTCCCTGACTTGCTGTCCTAATCTGCATAAGCTCAGGTCAGGAGGCACACTAACTTATAGGCACAGCCATTTGTTAGGTACTCTGATACACAGCAACAATAAACAAATGATAGAGTTCAGGATATAAACTCCTCTAGATCAAATTCTTTGAGCCACCTCCTTCCTTGTAGGAACAGGAAAGAGGGAAGCGTGGAACAATCTGTTCCAGGAATGAAAGTTAATCTTCCCATGCTCTGCCAAGTCTACATAGAAAGTTCAGATGTATTTCAAATGTTACGTTTTCCAAGTCCTTCAGTTTCTCCAGGCATACATTACTCTTTCTTTGCACGTGATTGTAACAAATTTGGGGGTGAGGTGTGCACCACCTCCTCATGCCACCAGCTGCTGGTGGAATATGGAGCGAGAAAGATGCCGAACAAGAAAGCCTGTGGCTGTCCAACAGCTTTTGGGGTTGTTGTCAAAGGTGGTTCTCCCAACTTGCAGCCTGGGAACCTTTTGCTTTTGGATAGGCTTCAAATCTGGAAGTACGTAGTGACACCAGAAAGGCAAAGAAATACAGCAGTCAGTGTATTTCAGTGTTTTGGTGCCAAAAATAAATATGCACTATATTTGTCTTTCCTAGTACCTTCTGGTTGTCCTAGAATTACTGTCTTCTCAAGTGAGTCTTATTTTTGGGTGATATATCTAAAGTATGATGGCCACAGTTCATCCATTTTAGCTTCTTATGAGAATTCAAACTTGATTTGAGAAACTATTTATGTGTCTTTTTGGTAGGTCACAGTATCTGTAAAACTCTCTTCCAACACCACATTTTGAACGAATTACCCCTATTTTTCGCTCCATAAGACGCACCTTTCCATAAGACGCACCAATTTTTTAGGAGAAGAAAACAGGAAAATATAATCTGTTTTCTTCGCTCCATAAGACGCACAGACTTTCCACCCCCCTGTTTTGTGGGGGAAAAGTGCGTCTTATGGTGCGAAAAATACGGTACATTTTTTCTATATCAGAGTTTTATTGTCCAGTTTTCACCTCTGCAGATCATAATTGGGAATACTGTGGTATAGACAAGACTGGCTTTGGCCTCCAACAATGTATCCTTAATAGTTGAGGATCTTCTCTAATCCTTTGTAGCTGCCCATCCAAGTCTCAGCTTTCTTCTAATTTCTTGGCTGCAGTATCCAGTTTGACTGATGATTGAACCAAGATATAGAAAATCTATAATAATTTTGACTTTTTTGTTGTCAGTATTCTGTAAATCTTCCATGGTCACTTTTGACTTTTACTATTCAACTGTAACCCTGCTTGTGTACTTTCTTCTTCACCCAGTAGTCTCTAATCTTTAAAAATCATTTATCTTTTCTGCCAGTAATCTCGTGTCATATGCATTTAGTAAATTGTTGATGTTTTTTCCACCAGTCCTCACTCCTGCTTTATCTCAATTTAACAGCTGCTTTTTATTTTAATGAGAAATTCTGAAATATGGTTAGATTTATTTTTAATTTAGAAAAAAATGAACGTTGATCTTTGTATGTGATTTGTTTTCCAGGTGGCAGTGCAGACAGTGTTTTGTCTCAAATTGCTGCTCAAAGGAAAAAAGCTGCTGGAATACCAGAACAAAAACCAAGCCAACCACAAACACCCATAGATTCAGCTCCCTTGCTTTCTCCTCCTGATATGGAAAGTTCACAGACTATTGGGAATGGGCACCTTCTAAAGGTTTGAATGTTAGTTTTATTATCAGCAAGAGTAATATACTTTATACAACACAGAGATACGTAAATCCTTTGCAGAGATCTTTGCTGCACCTTTTCAGCAAAGTTTAAAACAGCATATATGGTGGTATAGTTTGTCAGTGAGTTCAGAATGCTCATTATAAGAAATTATGTGTTTGCAAAACAATTTTGTACATAAAAATACAAAACATATTGGTACCTATTTGTGTTTCCCTCAATATATAGGCAAACTCCTTGACGTATTTAAAATTCAAACTCCAAATTCAAACTCCGTGACCTATTTAAAGTAATTGAATTGGTGTTTCTGGCATTTGTCCTTAAAGGAAGCTGGGATGGAAAGGATCAATTCCCATTATTGCAGCAAACATACTGTGTTATAGAACACAACCTCTCATCTTGAATGCAGAAAGCTTTTTAAAAAAAGGTTTGCAACCAAATGTCTTTATATCTTAGCCGTGTGAATCACCCTAGTACTCGTTCAATAAAGCCAGTTGCCAAAAATGTTTCATCAGCAGAAATACTAATTACCTCTCTGAGTATTCTTACATAAATATTCCCAGGGTTCTGTAGTGGATCGAGTGATGGACTAGGATTCTGGAGAACAGGGTCTGAATCCTTGCTCAGCCAAGGAAACGCACTGGGGGAGTGGAACTGGTAAAACTATTCCTTAAATGCTTCACTTACCTTGAAAACCCTGTTGGGGTTGTTGTAAGTCGGTTCTGACTTGGCAACACAGAACACACACACATTCTTACATAAGGTGATAAAAATATCCAAGATTTGCTCAAGTTCAGTACTTCCTACAAGTATTATTTCTGAAAAGATCAGTCATGTGGTACATTTCAGTAATGGGAACATACTTGTATTTATATTGCATTAGAAGCTGGAAATGAATAAAAAGCCTCCCTCTGAGAATTCTTCTACTTCTAAAAGCACATCCCCAACTCTTACTCCCTCACCATCACCATCGCTGTCCCCCAAGGTTCAAAGTGCGGAGTCCTCTCTGTCCTCCTCTCACAGGCAAGGCAAGAGCAGTGGTGGCTCCAGCAGTGGTACTCTGACGGATGAAGGTGAGTAGTCCAAACTTTCTGGAGTCATCATGGTCAGAGGCTGTGCAGGTGTGCCTGGACTGTAGCGCTTTGCACTATGATCTGTCTATTTGAATATTTCTATAAAACTGCATGCAACGCTTACCAGGTGGCCTCCTGATTGTTTCACCAAACAAATTATCCACAATGTAAAGACTTCAGTCAGACACTTGTCTGGTTACTGCCAACAGAACTTATTTATTGAAGTGTATTAAATTAAATCAGAATCACAGATGTTCTTTATTCAGTGCATACAATCAAATCATTAAAATATCATATATCTTTCCACATACTCAATCACCACCTGCTCTGCCTATTAACCTTGACCAGCTTATCTCTCCTAGTATATTTTCTCACTATCTCCCTGATTATTTGTATGTCTCTCACTGCAAATTCTATCTCTCTTCTCTGCAACCTCTATCTCTCTCTGCCAAACCTTCTTATATCCTCTGACTCCGCCCCTCCACTCCTCTCATAGGCTCATGCAAATGAGATCCTGAATATGAGGGACAGGAGTGACGTGGGGCGATTGTCACACTGCAAGAGAACATTTCTTCTCACATCTGGAGTAATGTTGAGTATGCAAGTGATTAATTAATAGTAGCTTGCATGCAGTCACACAATCTGAAGTCAGACAGTCCAGCACAGCTAGATCACATTATCTGACAATTCATGGGATGTAGTTATGGTAACATATCAGAATTCTTCAAATAATCCATGATATAGCATGGTATTTCATTTTGACTGATTATGAGAAGGACCAAATAGAAGTCAGTTGCTCTGCATATTTCTAGTTTGGTAGAAATATAGACAGAAGGAAGATAACTATTTTTTTTATTCTGAGCTTGGGCACTTAGGGGAAGTGAAAGCAATCAAGCAGAGAGTCAAATCAGAGCAGATTTGTCTAAACAGGGATCAGGAGTCTGGCCAATTCCTACTGGGCCCTACTGGCTAAGATACAGCTGATGCTTTATGTAGGCTAGCAAAGCCTGTACAGGGATTGTTTCAGTTTTTTTTCTAGAAGCTGTCTGTACTTCTTTCTAGAAGAGGCTCCATTCTTCAAATGTTAGCCTCTTCAGCGTGGATGGGATGATGAATTCACTTTGCTGGGAACTCATTTTTCAAACCCAGAAGAGGTGGTAGGGGTGTGTAGGTTGGCCAGAAGAGTTGTCCTTCTAGCGGCATAGCTTATATTTTTTCTGCACTTGTATCATTCTTAAGGTGGTGTTAAGGGCCCACCACTGCTGGAGTCGTGATAGGAACCAGGGAACTGCTCTATGATTTATCTCTGTTCTTCCATCTTTTGTTGCCCAGAAAGATAATAGCTGATACATGTTTGGAGGAACACTGGCTCTTAACAATGGCCATACTATTGCCGCTTTCAAATGCAAGTATAATCTAGGGAGTTCAGGAGTGTTAAGCTGGGGAACCCAGTAATCCTTAGTTCCTTTGAAACCTCCTGCCAGCATAGTTTCTTTTCTGTAAATACTGCATTCATATGCATGACAGATAAAAAGACAGGCATAATATAACATTTATTTTACACTGCACAGCTGGTTTTTATGTGCACGTTTCAACATTTTCAGAGTTAATGTGATAGCTAAGGGATGCCCTGAAAAGATAGACCTACGGAGAAGTCAGTGGTTGGCATAACTGTTATGATCTCTTTGCAAAACTAGTTCAAAATGTTCTTGGCAATCATAAATCAAAAGGTTCAAAATTGTTCATTTTATACTGTTTACAGATGAACTCACAGGCATTCTTAAAAAGCTCTCACTTGAGAAGTATCAACCTATTTTTGAAGAGCAGGAGGTGAGATTTTGTTTAATTTTTTTCCCATACTTTTTTGGTCAGTTTCTGGAAGCAGAGATGTGGCTAAAACCTGGATTATGTGCAATCATTAGATCATGTTTTGCTTCTCAGATTTCATGATATCAAATTCTATTAACTAGCTTTTCAGAAAGAAACTTAAAAAAAGCAACACACAATCATTAAAAAAATGGTGATGTAGAGAGCCAATACAGATAATATTTTTGCATATACATATCTTCCTCCTGGTCAAACTAATGGACTAGTTTCCCACATGATGCTTGCTGTAGTTTCAGGGCTTTTGTCCCCCTTCCCTCGCAGCCTTTACAAACACCAGTGAATATGCTCCAGCCCCTGTAGCAGGTTTTAGGCCATTAAGGTTGGGGCTGCAGGAGGGAGGGTGTTGTCCCACTGGCACTTAACACTTGTGGTAATTGCTTCATTTAACTCAGTGGGATAATCAAATACAGTCTTCTGTGTTTTAATCAGATTTGGCCTTTATTTAAGATATTAATGAAAAACATACGGCTTATGTTGGCCCTGACTGGTCATGTTTCTCCTCACAAGCAGTAAATTAGAGAAACTGCTCTTTGTGTTGTGATTGTTATTTGTGATCTCAAGCAGTTCCATACGTACATGAGAATTAGGCTTGTGTGGAGCTCGAACCAGGACGTTCTGGCGCTTTAGAAAGCTGGTATTAGTCACGTCCCTTTCAAAATGCATTAGTGTCTAATGTGTTATATGCCCCAGGAGTAGGTTGAATGCCTTCCCACTTTTCCAGCTGATGTGTTAGTAACATTTACTATCAACCTCTTTCATAGCTTATTGCTTCCCCAGTATTTGTAAAAGCCAAAACAAAACAAAAGCTCCTAGTATGTTTAGTTCTACTGTTGTCTGGAAATGCCACGCATAGTGAGG